CATAATAAATGAATATGATCTCTAAGTACAGTGATAGTGTTGTTGCTTTCCCCACAGATTGAAGTACTGTGTGAAATATTTTATTTTCACTTGGATGTTATTTTTGGTGAGGGGCAGATTTAGTGAAAATAAAATTCAGCGATTATTCCTTTCTATATTTTACATTCAACTTGTCAAAAAAATAGGCCTGTTGCTCAACGGCTATTGGTGTTATTTCCAGTTGTAAAATAACAAGCAGTCTGTAACGTAAATTTAAAATATTCTTCAAAATTAGAAAACTGATATCTTTATAAGTATCTTTATGAAATAAGCAAATATGACAATTTTGTACTTGGCTACTAAATTTTCTAGTTGGACACCAGAAATTCAAACTTGGTTGCCAATGGCCACAAGGAAAAAAATAAAACTTTGAGGGCTACTAACAAATCTAAATAAAGATATCGTCAAGAAATGAAGTACCTGAGATCCTTCAATTATCGAATGTTCTGGAAAGTTTCAAAGCCATATCATTTATCATTTTTTCAAAAACATAAAGTTGATAGCAACGGACAGTCAGCAATACTGTAAGCTTTGCTTGACAGTGGCATAAGATAAGAAAATAGAAAAATACTGTTTCTGTTGTGCGTGTTCAAGTACAATGAATGTACAGGTTTTGACTGCAGTATTCTCCACAAACTAAAATTGATGGAGCTTGGTCTGAGAATGTAAAAGTGGGAGTGGCAGTACCAGAATTGAAGATATCATCATGAAATGAACAAATTTGATAGTGGTCCACATGTAGTACATATATGTGGTGGGGACATCTATCAACCGAACGCGTCCCGTACATACAGCACTGTACGCAGGGCTACATATACACCAAGTATCAAAGCATTCAGGCTTGTAGTTTTCAAGAAGAAGTTGAAAAAGTAAAACATTGACACGGACGACGGACGACGACGGATAATCACTCATATGATAAGCTCCGCCCGACAAAGTCGACAGCGGAGCTAAAAAGTCTTTCCAGCGAAAATCAATTGCAGCTAAAATAAAGTATTTTACAGTACATTTATCCTGGCATGTATCTGCATGTTGAGGTAGAGGCTGATAGAGGCAGACATCTTGTTGGAAATCCAGCCAATTAACACCTGGTACAATATATATTATGACAAAACAATTTCAACCAAAGTGGGGAGGTTATCAAACTTACCAGAAATCACGTTATTTATTTACAACTTAGAAGACGTACTGGTATTACATGATCCAGGTAGGTTAAAGGTTATGTTGTAACTTTGCCCGGGGAAAGCAGTAACGATTTTAATTATATATCTTTTATTTGTAATGTGTTTTTAAGCATTTTTTTGTGAACAAATGCTTTTCTGTCTTCACACCTTCTGTTTGATAAAGAACAAAAAATACCATGGCAATAGTTTTTGGGGTACCCGACATGCTTTGCACATCATTTCCAAACAAAAATGGCGGCCAGTTCAAGCTAGAACTTGATCAAGATCGAGAAAAAGTTCTGTAGTTTATTTGTGTTGATTAGTTGGAAGGTAAGTACGAGTTGTTTTATATATTTCTATCTCAGGTATTTCCAGGTATAATGTTGTTTAATTACACTCGGTGTTCTTAAAGATATTCGTCATAGCGTAACTGTGGCGCAACTGCAAAACTTGACTGGGTTCATCAAAATATGGGATTCTAATGTTAACGACCCACCACCAACGTCAAAAGAAATGCTCTTTTTCTTGTAGTTCACAACGTAGTTGACAATTTCTGAGTAAAATAAGTTTGTTTTTGCCAATATATCAGTGTGACAGTCTCGGCATATGTTCGTGTCTGATAAATACTAATATAAAGTTAAAACTTGGATTTTGTGTCTTTGCAATCTCAGCGCAAACTGTTTTTGTATTAAACGTGATAACTGTTTTCCTGACTTTTTGCAAATCCACCACTATTTTAATTATGTTTGAAATGAAATCTGAATGTACTCAAAATCATTCTTAGGCAAGCGTGATGTAAACAAAACATGATAAAAATAGTTAGAGCCTAGGTCCACAAAACAAAGAAATATGGGTGCATGCAAATTTGTTGGAGCATGTCAGATGTTTGGACCAATAACTATAGAATGCTATGCAATGTTTTCAAAGCGTTGATTTGGTAAAATCATACGCTGCCAGGCTAAATATTGCACCACCAGGGTAAGATTCTTCAGCGCCATGCTAAAATGACAAAATATTGTACCGGAAAAGTATATATTCAAAGTGTTTTTATACATTAGTGAGAGTCCACGTTTTACGTGACACAAGAACATGCACTAAGAAGGAAAAGCAAGTCAGAGTCGAAACAGGGTGTATCATGGACTTGGTACAACATGCGCTGCGACAATTGAGTAATCGTCGTCATCATTTAGGGGCGCAATTGAAGTACTTTGTGAAACTTGCTACGCGGCGATGCTGACATCAAGTGTGTGTTGACCGAAGTTTGACCACAAGTCATGCACTGGACTGGCGTGTTACCATAGCAACCTTTTTCTTGCATGTTCTGCATGTCCATCTAGTAAAATTGTTATTACTGTATTTACCGTAAAATGAAGGGGTGGACGTTTGTCCGGATATCCCCGACAAAAAAACAACAAAAAATTGCGAAAATTGGCAACACGCAGATCAAACTGCGACAGGGAGTAAAACGACAAATACAAACATGCAACAAAAATAAATGAACAATATGCAGCATTAGAAGAGTAACAAGAAATAATTTATTGCTTAGAATGTGACAAATAAACCAGAAATAATAAAAATCGACAGTGAAGATTCATTTGAATTAGAATATCCCTGTCGACAAACACGCCCCATACGCGTGAATTATTTCCGGTTTTGACAAATACCGGATCAACAGCCATACAAGATCAATAATAATTTACGCAGTAAAATTACGAAAGTTCATAGTTGTTAGAAAAAAATAAACATCTAAGATCTCTATTTGTACGTTCATTGCTATCTTCGTAAAAGTCAAAACTCCAAGTCGGCGTCACTGTTGCGATCAAACAAAATCCCTATAGCTTCGTCTTGAAGTTTGTCGATGTGGTCCCACACAATTTGGACTTAGCACATTTAATCCACAGGTTTTACTGTCTGGTAGTCTGAAAAATGGGGTCGCGGCAAATGACTCGCACGATGCTTTTGTTTACCCTCTGGCAATCATCTTTGACCTTTAAGCATCCGCTTTACCGATTGGCTAAGAATGACATCACTACTAGTGTTTCATCATAGAGGTCAAGTCAACATCGCTTTCTTATCAGACTAGGCATTTATCAATCATGGTGAAAGTCACCATTCAGCAAGTTATATGGATATCGCGATGGGCTTAAAATAGGAAGATTTTTTTTCCAACGACAGAAGAATAATTTCCATGACAGAAATGCAATAGCTGTGGTGAAAGATGGTAAAAAGGTTGGCAGTCTTCGGCGTGACATTGCAAAATTGCTGGCCCCAGTTATGGATTCGCAAATATTTTATAAATCCAAAATAACGTGCTTTAAACCACTCTCTCAGGTATGTGTAGGGTTGCTACAATATTGCAACATTGGTTTCATTGTCAGCGACGCTAAAGCCGAACGAGTGCGACACTTGCTTAGCGGCTCTCGATATACTGTAAGATTTGCTTAAATTGATGGTTTCTATAAGGAAACACAAACTTAACGGCCCTTTTCAGGGCCAGGACATATTTCAAAAAGAGAACTACCGTTTCTCCTTTAACCCTTTTCCGGTCAGGGGAGTTTCACGCTATCAGGTTAAGTCGGTGAAAAACGGTCATGATTCAATGCACTCCAGTAGCCA